TAGACGGGCATTACAAGCGAGGCGTTAGCGACATCTACCAGGTGCTCTTTGCTAATCGTTTAATTCGTTTCAAAATTCCTTTTCGTGACTTTTTTAACAAGATATTGGTATGTTCGACGTGATACTGCTCCTTTGAACACATATAGACCAAAAAATGAGCGCCGAAATTTCGTTGTAGTATCCCTTTAAAGGGCAACTCCGCTTCATTTTTGATAGTTAGAAAACTATGTAGCCCTTTTGAGTATCATATAGGAAGATCCCATGTGAAATATTAAGATCTAATTCCGTCTATATATTTAATAAATTGGCCAGCAAACTTTCGAATGAGCCAAGTCGCCGAAATCTGCCAAATCTAGCCTGCTACGTGAGGCGCAATCGTCAGCGTAGTCAATGTGACGGAGTTTGAGCGGCCAACATCGAGCCACTACGTCAGAGGCATGACTACGTCATCCTCACGTTTTGTTTGTTTTTACTTCTCAGAGCAAAATTGAACGATGACGTCATGAGTTTCTCCTCCCGGTGTTGCTGAACGGCGTCCACGTGACCACCGTAACGCGGATGCGCTAGTTTGCGCCGCCCTGCGCGCTTATCGGTCTGTTTCTCCGCTCCCCCTCTCTTTCGTCTTCTCCCCTCCCCCTCTCCCCCGGGGCCATCACCGTCCACGTCATGCGGAGCGACCTGCCCGCGTCGCGTGTCCTGTCCCTCGCCCCCACGAACGTCACAAGACCACGTGGTTCGACGAGACGTGGCCATGACTCTGACGATACGAGACCGATGTTGCCTGACGCAACCGAAGTTTCGGTTTCGGTATCAGCTGATGTTTAAGTTAAGATTACAGAAGTAATATTCCACAGTTCGCGAATCCGAAAACGTAGAGCTGTTTAGTAGTGCTTTGTGAAATGGAATCCCATGTAAGCCTAAATTTTTCGGAATTGAGCGGAGTTGCCCTTTAAGGAGCAGATTAGCAATCAACAACACAAAAGGATTCGTCACTTGTATCCTCTCGCAATGTCTTCCCAGAGTTGATAGTGCAGTGGATGATGTGTCCGTGGTTTACAAAGCAGTGGTCTTCGAGCAGGTCCCGTGCTAGCTGCCTTGCCACCAGCTTGAAGATTGCAGTCACGTGATACTAACCGGAGACACGATTGGCCTAAAAACACGCATAGCGTTTACTTTGCTGCGAATACTAAGGCAGCAGGACAGCTGCACGACGGCTTATTTTTGGAGTTCCGAAGAAAGTGTTCAGCCCAACACTAAACCAAAAGACGCTTGATGATCTGAGGTTTTACGCCCTATAACTCACACCATAAATTACAATGCAGAATTAACTGCAACGTTTTTTTTTTCCCCAGAATGTCGACAAATACACGTGTATACTTAATCTAAATATACTGGGTGTCTCTCTTTATTCTTACACATTTGTTTAAAAAAAACCGTGAAAGCTACACTAATGCGGTTTGTGCAGGTGGGTTATATGGCCAGGCGGACATCATGTCGGTGGCTAATCTTTGCGATAAGTCGGCTAATTAATTAAAATTCGTTAATTAACTTTTTAATTAGTGGAAATAAATATATGGCTTCAGTCAGAAACTTGTAGAGGATCATCGAAAACCACTAAATCAAATATTTTGGAAGGATATAACGCCGGGGAAGCATTTTACGGCGTTCTGTAAATGCGTTCCCTTTGAACGCGTTTCTAGATTTCGGTTTCTTATCGGAGCGCATCACCGCGCCCCCGGTCCTGCTCCCCAGTGGCTGAGACGCGCAACACACGTGCGCCCTACTACCCTCCGTTCTACGAGGGAGGCGAGGAGGTGGCTTCACGGCGCGACCACCGGGGAGCGGGATCGCGGGCGCGTAGATGCACTCCGATAAGAAACCGAAATCTAGAAACGCGTCCAAATGAAGGGTTTATACAGAACGCCGTAAAATGCTGCCCCAGCGTTATATCCTCCTAAAAATAGTTGATTTAGGGGCTTTCGATGATGTTCAGCAAGTTTCTAATTAAAACCATATGTTTATTTTCAGTAATTGAAAAATTAATTAACGAATTTTAATTCATTAGCCGACTCATCGCAAAGGTTAGCCGCCCACATAATGTCCGCCTGGCCCACCTGCACAAACCGCTTTAGTGCAGCTTTCATGGTTTTTTTTTTACCAAATGTGTAAGAATAAGAAAAAACACCCTGTATATTAAGCAATAAATTAAAAGGCACTTAAATTCATGCTAAGTTTTTTTTGTAATATTTGATTCTTTACGACAGTTGTAGTTACATAATTGAAGGAATGGTACAGTTTTTGTTATCTGTACACGGTTTTGGCGAACAAAACAATGTTTAGCGAGCTCCGAAATTTACGGCGTTGTTTACTTTTTTTATATATATATATCACCGTCAACAATAAACAGCCTCTGCTCACCACAGTGGCAACACATGGTGGGTCTGTGGACCCGAAGTGCTAAAATAAAATCTAATGTCTCAGAATACAATAATACAAAATACTGCAACAGCGCTAGTTGATTTCTGCCATTCGCTGAATAGAGAGGTCCGTAGGGCGGCGCGAATGTATCGAATCAGTAACGATTTTTTTGTCGAATATGCGCAAGCAAAACTTGTTTAGGAACAAAAAAACAGATATGTGTCTCCTTTGACGAAATTTCTCCTGTTCGTGTTTAACTAGCAATCATCCGTCGAACCTACAGTTCGACATTCTTGTACTATTTACCTTCTTGACGAAACATAATTTACAGTGGTTAAATGCGCCGGTGGGCTTGGTTAGTAAAAGAGGTGCCAAACAATGCTGGTATAATTATGCATTACAATGGCGAAATTGGATGCCGGCGTAGGCACCTTTGCAGTTTCTATATGTACAAACGCAGCCTTACATCTCCGAGATATTTATCTAGCTCGCACGCATCCAGTGACTTAATTTCACAGGATATAAAGAAAGTAGGATATCAATAGACTCGCGCAGATCTAGAATGTTCATTGACTCGCCCAATTCGAGGATATGTATAGGCTCTCACTGTTCTAACTTGCCCGTAGGTGGGCATTAGAAAGGAATGAGAAACGCTTCAGATATTAGGAGGTCTATCGAACGTTGACGCGTGATGCTATGCAGGCCCTAGTCACCGTGGACGGCAGTTTAAGAGTAACAAAAGAAAAATTCAACTCTCCATAAAAATCCGTACTTCAGATGAAATTTCATAGGGGTAATCATATAGAAATCGCCAATCCATGGAACGTCAAGATGTATTTCTATAATTGAAAGCATGGCCTAGGAGCGTAAGGATTGAGAATTCCTTACCATAGTTTTTTTAGGTTGTAGATGTCGAGTTATTTTTGCGAGCTAAAGGCCGAGATTCAGTGACTAAAATGGAGGAAACGTATATGCATTCTTAACAGTCACTGACCCATTTCAATTCCCTATTTACTAATTATAAAGTTAACATTAATTTATTCGCACATGATTCGTTTGCTTTGAGATAAAGTATGCATATAGACTGTATTGTAAACAGTGATAATGGAACCTGATTAATTAAAGCATACGTAAATAACTGTACCAATGAGATAATTTTAAAGTGTGCTACACGCATCCATATCTAATCTTCTTTACTACAACGTTCCTAACTCTCGGGCTCCTAATGTACAAAGAAACTCCTCCATTAGTTTCCGAATGATTCAATCTGACAAGCGTCGTTAAAACTTGAGAAAACTAAGACTGTTCCACTTTGGCGACCCTCATTAGCTAGAGCGAAACGTAATTGAACCTGAGAAAATGAAAATAAATCAGACCGATTATGGAATCTTTTTTTAGAATTACTTTCTCCCAAGAGATTGGACGCTATGGACACCACTTTATCTGCCCGATCGCCATCGAAAAAGGCGAATGAATATTCGCCTAAAATTCCTAAAATCAGGACTGGGTGGTAAGAAGCGACCGCTCCGAACCCAATATAAAACTAAATGCAGCAAGTGGAATTTATGATTATGTAAATGCTTAACGGGCGTTGAGTGAACGGAGCAACAAAGCTTAAAACGAGCAAATTGAAGACGCCTTTGGCGCCGCCGCCAGTCTAGGCGACGCCATCTTAACATTATTCTGGAAGAGAACGCGCAGAACTAACGCTAATGCACAATCTCCTTCCAGAGCTTCCCTCCCCTTCGATGCATCGATGTCCCTTTTTCCGCGGCGACCCTATTTTCCCCATTTTATCGTTCTTCCTTCCCGGAAGAGTATTCTTAATTCGAACCCACCCATTCCCCCAAAAGAGAAGCGGGCGCCACGATCATTTTCACTTGATAATCAATTCATGCGACCCTTATTAAGAACTTCCCTGCCATCTGTCGTTTCCCGCCATCCGAAAAAAAAAAACAAAAAAAAAACTAATGACCGTAACCTCTAACAATGCGAGCGCAACACACATTGGGCAGGCTTTCCACCACTACTATTTATGCTCGAATTACCGTATCCGGCGACATACGGACACACACTCCCGCACGCATCGAGACGTTGGGAAGGTTTTGCGCGCACGCACGCACGCACACGTGCGCGCACACGCAGGAATCGAGAGCACCGCCCGCGCGCTGTCCCCGCGCGCGCTCTCCGAAAACGGCCAACTGATCGGCGGATACTTACGTTGATCACTGGACCCCGTCATTGCTGCTTGAGGGTCGCTTAAGAAGTCCGCCGCCGCCGAGGTTTGCTCTGGCCAGAAACTGCGTCCCACCATTGGCGATTAGCGCGGGATAGCTATCGAAAGAACGGCGGACGCTCCCATGCACGCGCGCTCCCAGAAGGCGGAAAGAGGGACCGCAACGACGGTGGCGGCACCAGGGCGGAGCAGTTCTTTGTCTTGGGACTTGGTCTCGCTCCTCTTCTTCATGTCCCCCTCGTCGCCGCTTTTTTGGGTTTCATTTGCGTGTTGAGGTGGCGGTGTCCCACTCGGGTCCAGACTTCGGTCCGGTGCGGAAGGCCCTCCCCTCGTCCGCGGTCGTCAGCCCAGCGCCCATGGTACTCAGCTACCGAAGCTTGTGCCTGCTCCTCCTGCGGCTCGGCTTCGGCGGTGTCAGCTCGTCGTGTTCCGCTCTCGGATATCATCCGCTCCAGAGCCAAATGGGTGAGTAAACAGCCGCTGAGACTCTATTTGCTCTCAGACTTTGAGCATACGTTTCTGGGAGGAACCGCCGCGTGTTCCGGGCCAAGCCTAATGCCTCTTCGGGGGTCTGTGATAAATGGACCCGCTCGACACTTGTCACCGTTGATGCGCGACCGCATCGATCGTGCAATGGAAAAGTCGTCCCTGTACAAGGCGAAGATAGATTCGGTAGCTGGGTGAACTAATTTTTGACTACCACTTTAGTCTGGAGTGGTGCGCGTTTCTTCTTTTTAGTTTTTGCTGCCACATGTATATGGCAGCTGTGGGAACCTGTTCTTGCTTTCCTCCAATGGCTTAGCAATTTAAGTTCTTCGCTTTATTTTTTTTAATTTTTTTTTGCAATCTAATTACTCTATGTCGCCACTAGAGACGGTTACAATGTTCCTGGACTAAAGCGACGGAAAGAAAGGCGACAGTGTTTTTTCGTGGAATGAAAGGTGGGCAGAAAGCTTAAACATGTTTTGCAATTCAGTAGCGAGGCAAAATAAGATGTGCGCTTAAAGTTACCACTAAAGTCATTTTAGAAATACGTGTTTTTGTGGGGAGTTAAGATACATCTATATATTTGAAACACCGATAGTTTCTTTTTTTTTATTTATGTAAATGTTGTTCCAGCGCGGTCGTAAAAAAAATATGTGTAGTTAACGGGGGTAATATTCTCAGTCACCTCTCGTAATATAGAATGTAGCATTAAAAGTGCACTTATTTATTTAAAACTATCAATATTTAAGTCTTCAGCACAAGACGATAGTTCAAAGAAAACTATCTGTTAAATGGTCTTAACAGTCTCAATCGCGGGTTGTACCCTCGTTTTTGTTAACAGTTTTAATTAGGTAGTTTTTGCCCTTCACACACTCGTTTTGATCTTTCTTAATTATTCGTAACGGGCTGTCGATATGTTGTAGTTTGTGGATTTGTAATGGTAATTAGTATGACGTAACACTGACATATCGCTGAAAAAGCACTAGTTGATTATAAAAGAAATGAAACAAAAGTATAGGCACACAAGTATACGCAAAAAACGATTGGGATCGCAATGTTACATAGAGCAATGTAACATCGAGGAAAAGGCGTGGAGGCCACAGGTTGAATGTCGAGGCCACTTGCCGTTGATCGGTGGTGTCCAGATGTGGAGCTGAAGTAATTTTAAGAAATGCTTTGGTATTTAGGGATTTTCGGGTTCATCGTATCCTCCAGCGTCAGGGTTTTACACTAGAGGAATCCTTTAAACTCTCGGTCATGGTGAGCATCAAGTGTGACGGCATTCTCAAGTCCTAGCGCCTATATGATAAATGTAATCATATACGGGTCAACGAAAAGACCTGTCAAAAAGCAAGCAAGTGGGTTGATTCTTTTAGAACCTGGTCGCTACAACGAAGATCCAACGTCTTTCTTCTGACTAGCCCGGTCTAGTATCCCGCGCCGGTATTTCTGTTTCCGCATTTTTCACAGGCTTTTTTTTTTCTCCCCTTTATGATCGGCCATGAAATGGTATACCTCTCAACTGAGTTAAAAAAAGAAAACTAGAGCAATTGTTTTTTTTTGTTTACAATCATAACGCAAGTACCTTTAACAGAGCGCGTAGATCTGTCGATCTGAAAATGCTCCGAAAAATATGGTACCGAGTAGGAAGTATCTGAAACTAAAACGCCACCTATGGAAATAAAATGACATTTATAACAAAATTGTCACGTCTATTTTAATCAAATTAAACAAAGGTGGAATTGACCAACGCTTTCTCTTGTGTTACTGGGTGCAATTAACGTTTCTTATTTTAAAACAATGTACGCTTTTTCCCTTCCCAGACAATTAAAGTCAAGTGCTAAAACAATTTATATCTGTTTTAATTGTTTCCTAGTTATTTGTTTTTTAAATTGCGATCGTTAACACAACAAAAAAAAAAGTCTAGTAAGCAGCAATATATACTTTGCAATGTTGTCAAGTTTTGGCGCTATCTAGTGACTGAAGCAAAAAAACGTTGGGTATGCCTGGGAGTGGCCACTGCATTGTTCAAACGTGAGGTATTACTCTGGTGGCGCTGCTTAGCCTTCTATCTGTAGCAAGAAATACTGGGAAGGTTAGGAAGCCGTGATAGCATAACGTGCCAGAACGGCGGAAGCTACGGCCCTGTTGCGCCGATCGGAACGTGACTAGGTATCCCCTGAGTGAGCTTTTACTGCCTCGAAATATCATGCTTTTTGCTGCGTCAAGCTGAAATATGCAGGGTGTTTTAGAGAAATAAGGCCAGATCTCTCCCGCGAAAACTACTCATTGCAACGAAAACAGGCTTGTGCCGTTTTGGTCCAGTGCTAGGGGCCCAGCTAGAAAAATTATGAAGTCCGGGATAACTTACTTGATAATTATTTTTGCGTAATTAACTTTTTAATATTGTGTTTAAGCGCACAGTTCCAATTAGAAAATTGCTCAGCACCGTCGAAAAACACTAAATCAACAAACTGCAGAACGATAGAAGGCACGCGAAGCATTTTACGGCTTTCTGAAAAACGGCACAAATTCGAAGGGTTTTTAAGTTTCGCTTTGCTATCGGAGCGCCTCTCGGCCTCGGCGGCACCGCGCCCCGAGGAGAGATAGTGCAACTAGCCTCTGCTGCGTCGCGCGATGACAGCGCAGCAGAGGTTGGTTGCACTCTTTTTCCACGGGGCGCGGTGCCGCAGGGGCCGAGAGGCGCTCTGATAGCAAAGCGAAACTTAAAAACCCTTCGAATTGGTGCGGTTTTTCAGAAAGCCGTAAAATGCTTCGCGTGCCTTCTATAGTTATGCAGTTTGTTGATTTATTGTTTTTCGACGATGCTGAGCAATTTTCTAATTGAAACCATGCGCTTAAACACACCATTAAACAGGTCTATATCCAAAAGTAATTAACAACTTAATTATCGGCGAATTTAATATTTCTCCTAAATGGGCCCCTGCCCAGGGCCAATACGACACACGCCTTTTTTCATTGTGATTAGTAGTTTTCGCAGCAGCAATCTGGCTTGAGTTCTCTGAAACACCCTATATATGCGTTGCTCTCGCAAACGGGGCTCATGACGAAGCCGTCGACACGCAATGTGGGACCTATCGTTCACCCTTTGCCAGTTTACAAGGAGAAAGTGTAAAACCGTTGGTTTTCCCTTGGCTGGCCCCGTTGGGGCCAGCAAAGGGAGAGCCAACGGTTTTACCAACAGGTGGCTGTTCATTGAACTGCTTTTACTTTCAATTCACAATTGAAGCACCCCATTTAAATTTAATTCCTGCTGGATGTTTTGCTCTAACTTCGAGGATGTTGGAATATTTCACGGGTAGACGTAGTGCGTGTGAACTCACCAGTGAAACTTTTATAATTGCACTTAGCTGTTTCATGCCATTTAAACAAAAATAAGTAATATGCAAATATTTATCGGGCATTTATGCATTGTTAAAACACAAAATGACCCAGGAACGGCCCTAGTACCGGGATCAAATAACGTGTAACCATTTAAAAAAATAAGAAGTATTATTGTAACCTAAAGCACAAATGGCATTATGACGATGAGTTGTTGATATAAGGGACTTTGCTTAGAACCAGATAGACAAGAAATCAAAGCGGAACGCAAGTTCGTCTGCTTCTTCTGCAGGGGTTTTGTTGACGTCAGAATGCCAAGCTCTGATGGGCTGTGATCGAAGGATAAATGGTAGACCTCAAATCAAGCTGCCTTGATGTCTACCCACTAACCACTGCCCACTGATTGACATCTACCCACTGATTCACATCCGTAAATCAGAGACTGTCAGAGATCGGCGTTCTGACGACACCAGAAGTCCTGTAAAAGAAACAGACGAAATTGCGCTCCGGATTGGCCCATTTTAGGAAGACTTGAATTTCTCTTCACTGGTGAAAGCATGGCACACTGTAGTTTGTAAAGAGGGTTTCCTCCTGTTATTTATATACAACGTTATATTTATTTCACGTTATGTAACAAACCGGCAACGTTCCAGTTAACTGAATAGTACATATCTCACGAGCATTCACCTTTGCGTTAGGTTATCCTGCACTGCGTGAAACATGTTAGTATTAACCCAATTATATCGTACCTTACTTTGCGGATTACAGGGTGTTTCTATTGCGAATAGCTTTTACGTAGATTCGTGAAGGCAAAATATTAGTCTAATAACTGACATTTTAAATTTTCTTTGTTTCAGCGTAGCAAAGCTCAATAACAGTTAAGGTATGTCAAGTAAACAAAATATTTTCTCAAACGTTCCACTCATAAGTTTGAAAAGCAATCTAGTTAGTGATGCCGTAAATGGAAAATAGACGTGTGGCGGCATGTACCATATATGGTCACAGCGGCGAGCCAGGCTCAAACACCAGGCCATGTAACGGCAGGTGCGACTAATGCTGGGCTGCACGTGCGAATAAAGAATATAACTGTTTTTTAAGCGATCAAAATAGCCGCTTGTCACTGAATCGCGCTCGGACATTTCAGCCCCGACATACGTCGGTGTTGGAGATCATGGGCACAGTCCGGAATAAAACGTCTCTAGAAGTTGAGGAGGTTAAGGAACAAGTGAAACTTCCGCAGTTACGTAGGTTGAGCTAAATCACTCACCGCAAAAACCTTGTCAGCGCCGGCAGTGACATGATGACCGAGAAAGTCGAATATTGTCAGAGCACCTCTGTAATTTGATGATTAGGCCGAAGGACTGAAGGCGGTCAAAAACAAGTCGAAGATGTTGATATTAACCATTTCGTCGTTTACCCTGAGACTGGTTTTTTTTTTTGAAGAGCAGAAGTAACAGAAAAAATAGACATGTCTCAATGAGACCTGTCTGTTTTTTCTGTTACTTCTGCTCTTAAAAAAAAAAAAAACACAGTGTCAGGGTAAAAGACGAAATGGGTGACTTCCACCAGCTAGCCTGTACTTTGACTCTTTTCATTTTGATATTGTTCGCCCATGGGAGTGCTCGCGATGAGCGGGT